TCGCTGAGCTGGCTCGCTGGCGTCCGCCCAAAACGATAGGTCAGTAATATTTCATAGTCGCTCGAAACGCTGCTGTACGGTGGAGCATGCTAGATCGATGCCTATACTTTCCTAGTCGCTCAAAACGCTGTCGCAAAGTAAGAACACACTCTTAGAGTCTAAACCGAACCGCTAAGATCGACAAGTGTTCATGGTACAAGCTTCTCCATCAGACCGCGTTCAGACTTCGCGACCGCGTGTTCGGATCGCTCGAACGGATCGCGTGACCACGATCGGGGAGCTTCACCGCTAAGCGGTGCATCCGCACGCCTGATTGTGGTGAGTTGATCCGATCGAGCGATCCAAGCGCGCATGCGATCCAATCGCGCGATCGCGAAGTCTGAACGAGGTCTTACTAAGGCAAGGGCAGTTCTCAATCATACAAAATCCAGTCGTGGAATTTCCATGGAGCCGTCACAGGAGAATAAGGAGGAGAGAGCATGAAGAAGGCTATGCTGTCACTACACCTATGAAATGCATTCTTAATATTCACTTCATCAGAATCATGGATGCCGACGACCGAATAGATTTTCTCTGATCAGCCATCAGCTTCTGCAATTCTAACGAATCCCATGCATTTCTATTTAAAAGTAGAAAATAACCACCCAGCACAGAATTCTTCACGGAACCCACCAAAAAAAACTCAGGGGCAAGAATCGAAATGCAGCATAGCTTTGATAATTATTAGATAACAATCAACACCAACCGAAATATCACCGAATGAGCAAAGGACTATCACTTCTACTTGCACTAAATGATGCCGCGCAAACAGTCTCTTCCTTCCGATAGGATACGAGAACGAGACGTGGAACTGCGCGTTTACAACAACATTATCCAATGGCGGACCCATTTTCCCACTAAACTACAAAGACAAATGATGACCGAAGTGAAACAAGGAAAGAGAGATGGAGAATCTAAAAAAACGTGATAAACGGCTAGGAGGAAATTTGTTCAGAAATCACCGACAAAATTACTAAAACTAGAAGCTTGCTGCGAAAGAAAATGGAACAAACTATGCAGCGCCCCAAATACAAACAGAAACCTCATCAGACTTTTCTTCAATGGACAAGCAAAGCCAATAAGCTACAATTGTAGCCGCTCCGCTAGTCCTGGGCGCTTGTCTTTCGATCTTTTAATGTGCTGCAACGTCATAGCCAGGTGCTTTTCGAGGGCGTCCGCTTCCGCACTAACATCGAGCTGTACGGCGTTGTCTTTGGTGCGGGATATCAGTTCCACAAGCATATCCTCGGTAACCTACATGAGTACTACGATTATTGTGAATCCGGGGTAAGAGCACTTGAAAATACTCGAAGAAAAAACTTCACTTCTGCGTCCTTTTTGAGCAGAAAGTGGCATCTCTATGGGGAAGGTTTTAAACTAGACTACTTCAGAAATGAAAGTTGAGAATACATTCTTGAAGTAATACATGGCCTAGCATCGTTAGTCACTGTTTGAGATTACTGGATAGGCAGAGCCAGGAAAGGACGTCTTTGGCTTGCCCTCCTCTTCCGCCCTCTATGAAGGCAAGGAAGCTGTTGAGCGGAGGGGCGCACCAATGATGTCGTTTCCTGAATCCGTCTACTAGGAAACCTTGGATAAGCGAAAAAAAAAACTGAAATAACATTGAAAAAAATCAAAACATGTTGTCACAAACTTGCTGGCCCTCACCTCAAGACAATTGTCCTCGTAGTAGTACAACAGCGTATTGATTATTTGAACAAAAAGCTGCTGTTGAACGATAGGTTCAAGGCACTGCGTTGCTATCTGGAATGGGAATTTTTTCCCTCGTTAGCAAACTTCGGGATAGCGAAAAAAAAAAAAACTAAAGTGCAACCATGGCGGCGAGTCTGACTGACTCTACCACGAAATGGCGCATGAACAGTTCGAGGGGAAAATGGAGTGAGAGAAAGTCTTACCACGAAACGGCGCATGAGGGTTCGAAGGGAAAGTGGGGTGGAGAAATTCAAGAAAGCAGCACAAGAACACCTTGAACGGTCCGGATACGAAAGCTTTGTGAGGAAAGTTGGTTTTCAGAGTGAAAGTCTTGATTTGCTCAATGCCAGCAATGAATAGGAAAAATCTTTGGCCTCAGAGTTTCGCCCATCACGCTGGCAGCGTTCAGACTTTGCGATGACGCGCGTGGACGGCGCTAACAATTTTGCGACATGCTGCTCAATCGTGATGGATGCAGATGCACACCCGTTCGGACGGGAATTGAGCCCTGCCGGACCGCTTGTGTTCGAGAGTGTTATTAGATGAATCAGCGAGGGATTCACAAATCTGCATTCCCCTATTCTGGCATACTTCCCCAGAACACAAGCGGCCCGAGCCGATCGACGCCAGACTGCGTGATTAAACGCTTAATACCCTACTATTCCCCGATACTCTCCCAAAGCACAAAACGGCCTCCGCCAATCAATTCAGACTGCCCTTGCAGTGGCAGCGCTTCGACGCGCTTCATCGCGAATTATGAACGCTGCCTTATGTTTACACACTAACAATAGGTATTTGGAATTAAAAATTCAAGTGCGCTGACCTTGGCAGCCTTCTTCATCACCTCTACAACTTTGTCACCATTCCTCATAGTGCCATCAGAGTCCGCGGTTTGACCCTTCCAATACAGCGACACCACAGTGCAAAGCGTTCGTACTTGGTCAGCCTATTGAAGGAGGTTTGCTCTTTGGTAAACGATTACGGAGTTGAAAGTTTACTAATATCATAGATCATTCACCTTCTTGAACATTTTAGCCGAGGCGGCGACCACAATCTGCCCAGCAAGTGTGTGCCAGCTGTCTGATGGCAAATTCTTTATTTCCAACATAGTACCCGCAATCAGTGACATAGCACTGATCCGTTCCCTAGATTCCGCAATCTCGTCCTCGAATACAGACATGGCCTAAATTTCGGACGCTGTGAAGCTACAAATATACCCCTAACTCATGGTTAAGTGACAGTTCGAATAAAATGAGAACTTTTGCAAGCTGAAAATGTAAATGATGTAGAAAAC